GGCTGCGGTGGGAGGAGGAGGCAGCGCTGGGCGCTGGGACTCGCCGGGCGGCGAGGAGCGCGGAGCGCGGAGCCGGAGCCAGACGCCGCCGCCGCCACTGCCACCTGCGCGGCGCTCAGCAAGGTAGGGCGGCCCCGCACTGCGCCTTCACAGTCTGTGCGATGGGGGGCGTCGGGTGGGACGTATGTGCTGCGCCTCCCCAGCTGCAGCTCCCGGGGAGGGATGCTGGGGATCGGCGCGCCCCTAGGGGCCCGACGGGGCACGGGGCAGCCCGGCTTCCAATCCCTCCGTGTGACCTTGCACAAAGCACTGCTCCCGTACAGGCCTCAGTTTCCCCCTCGGGAAAGCGGGCGCAGTGGTGGCTCGCTTCTCTCCGAGCTATTGGCAGCAGCAGCCCCCAGGTCCAGCCTCCTGACGGTCGGGACCCGGATGGGGGCTGTCTGCACCGCCCACCCCTCCCTCCTGCAGTGAGGGCTGTTCGCCCAGGGCTCGGAGAGCCGGCCCCGACAGGCCCCCGTGTGGTCCCAGATTCCCGCGGTACTCGTATTGGGTCCTTCCTTCCCCTTGGCTGGTGACCTGCTGGGCTTCAGCTACCCGATCCGGGAGGCAGTGAGGAGGCTGGGCAGAGTCGAACCCCAGCTCGCTGCCCGCCTGGGCTTGCAGGTCGGGGCGGTCAGTGTCTGTCTGCCAAGACCGGCTTTCCCTTCTGGGACTGGGGAGCCTGGGCTGGAGGTGGCCGCCGGACCCTCGGCCACCAGCCTGCGTGGACCGTACCCATGCGTGTCCCCACCACCTGGACTTAGGGAATGGTGTAGGATAGCCCCATCCCCTTCCCCATCCTGGTCTGGTGCTGGCGCCCAGCCCTGTATCCCAGCCTTGGCTCACGGCCACGCATGGACCACAGAGCAGCAACAGCACCAAGAGGCCTGTGTCTGCGTGGGGTTGGGGCGTGGGGCACAGCACGTGTCTGAGGGAGTGTGGCCCCAGGCTCTGGGTAAAGAAGACCTCGGATATCTATTCTCAGCCCTTCCAGAACATAACATCCCCACCCGAAGGTCCTGCTGCCGGGTTGTACACAGGGCGCTCTCCAGCTCTGAAGGCGGCTTAACACCCAGCTAGAATCTGCCCCTGAACTAGTGCTGCTCTGGGCACGCAATGTCCGACCTCCCTCCCCACCATGGGCAGTGATCAGATCCCTTAAATCTGCCCACCTCCAGGCTGAACAGCTCCAGGTTGAGCACTGTGTCTCCAGTCAGAGCCAAAGGGAGCAGAGGCGGGGAGAGGGAGCTGAATTAGCTGAGGTCTGCCCCAGAGTGGACTGTGGGGCCTTCTCGAAGTCTGGGGCCTGTCCTGAACCTACCTGTGCCTAAGGACAGCAATGTGCTGCCCCTTAGCTGTCTGGATGGAGAGGAGGACACAGAGCCCCTCCAGGTCTACCCTGTCCACAGTCATCCTGCCTCTCCAATCCTCTTGCCCTGTTTGAGGAAGCAGCTTCTGGGAAGCGATTCTGGGCCTTCTGGTCTCCGTTGTCCTCCTCATGACCTGCCTCTCACCCAGGGGCTTCTTACAGCCAAAACAAGGGAAGGGCAACCTGGGAAGGGAGGGGCCACCTGGGAAGGGAGGGGCCACCTGGACAGGTGGTAAGCTCTGCATCATCAGGGGTGTGATGGATGAGCACTTGCTGAGACTGACCAACCTTTGACCCTAAGTCACTGAGATTCTAGGGCTAAAGTAGAGTGACCATGACCTTGCCCTCCAGCCGTGGTGGAAGCTGCACAGGACTTGGGGCTGGACCACAAATGAGTGTTGTTATACCCTCATAAAAGCAGACTAAGTATACATGCTGTCACTCAAGCATAGTAGCTCCAATGCACAGGCTTAAGTGCTACCTAAGTCTCTTGTCATCTCTACATGTGTATCATCTTGACCCCATTTTCCTGCTCAGCTAGTCCAAGCCATTTTGGCCTGATTTAGGGACATGGCAGATTCGAGTTATTGAAAAGTCATCCTATAGTAATAATTTAAAAAGGCACCATGGAATTATGGAATGTCTGCGCTGAAAGGGATCTTAAGAAATCCTCTCACCCAACCCCCTCATTTTAAAGATAGGCATCTCCTGCTGCCAGAGGGGACGTGACTTGGCAGAAGTCATACGGCAAACCAGCAACCGAGCCCACAAATTCTGATTCCAACACCATACAGCAAATGAAAAGTTTGTATTTTTTCCTGTAAAATTAGCAAAAATAAATATAAAAGGGTAAAATTTTATGCTGGCGAAGCTGTAGGTATTCACCCAGGTTTTTTAATTTTGTAGACCAATCTGTCTCTCAGCTTGTTACAAAAGTTCATGAAAATGACTCTATCTGCCCTTTGCTCCTAGTATTCTACTTTGGGAACTTTACCCTAAGGAAGTAACTGGAAAGAAATGTGCATAGTGCTGTTATTTATAAGAAGTTATAGTGAAGAAGCTTTCAGCGTTTTATTTGAGGTCAAATAGGCATTTCATTTGAAAAGTACAGCTTAAAAACTAGTGACACCAAAGCTTACATTGCCAGAGTCTGGAAGCAACGGGGTCCAGAGGAAAGGCCCCACTGGATGACCCTGGGTCAATCCCTTCCCCTCTCTGGACCTCACTTTTCCCATCTGTGAAATGGGGGCAGACTCAGTGATTGCTGAATTTCTTTCATCTCTGACAACCCATGTTCTAGACATGGCAACTGTAACTGAAGCCTTTTATTGGAAGGATCAATGATCACGGTGATAGCCAAAGGACTGTTCCAGCCGTGCTCCCCCATCATTAAATGAATCCCTTTAGAGGCAGGCTGCTAACTGAAAGGTTGGCAGTTCAAACCCACCAGCTGCTCCGCAGGAGAAAGATGTGGCAGTCTGCTCCCGTAAAGATTACAGCCTTGGGAAACCTATGGGGCAGTTCTCCTCTTTCCTGTAGGGTCGCTATGAGTTGGAACTGACTCAACGGCAATGGTGGTTGTTGTTTTTAGAGGCAGGCAGCTAGCTTTGTTCCTGGGAAGGGGTTGCAGCCTTAAAGTTTTGCTATTTCCAAATAGCCAGAAGCTGGCTTGTTTTAGAGCTTGGTGTGTTTTTGTTTTTATCTTCTCTACCAAATCTAAGGGGTTAGATTTTTCAGGAGGACCAGAAAACAATTCAGCAGGACTCTTCATTTGTTTTAAGCCTATAGTTTGTGTCTTGCCTCCTTCAGAATAGACTGGAGGTGCTCTGCAATCACAGCCCTGTCTGAAGGTCCAGGAGCAGGTGACTTCACTTCTGTGGGCAGATGTTTATTGGGTTCCTGCTGTATACCAGGCCCTGAGGTGCGTCCCTGGGTCCCACAGGCTGCTGTGAGAAATATATTAGGTTAAAACACATGAAATGGCCAATATCCAGCTGTTTTTGACTGACAAAATATGGTAATTTCATTTGGTTCAGCTTAAATGGAAAAAGATATAATTAAAGAGCAGTGTGTTCTTTCCTGTAATTGAGAAATGGGCAAGGTACTGTGGGGACTAAGAAGGTATGATTATGAGCTTGGGGAGGTCAAGGGGGAAGTATGTGTGAATCTGGTTTTTCAGAAGTAGATTGCCAGGTCTTTCTTCTAAGGTACCTCTGAGTGGACTTGAACCCACAAACTTTCAGTTAGTAGCTGAGCACGCTAACCATTTGCACAACCAAAGATCCTAATGATAATAGCTAATATTTATTGAGTACTTAAGGAGTCCTGGTGGCGCAACGGTTAAGTGCTGGGCTGCTAACTGAAGGGTTGGCGCTTCGAACCTGGCAATCTGCTCCTGTAAAGATTACAGCCTAGGAAACCCTATGGGGCAGTTAGTTATACTCTGTGCTATAGGGCAGTATGTGTCAGAATCGATTCAACGGCAATGGGTTTTTGGTGGTTTGGTCTTTCCTTTAAGAAAACAAATGTACAGAGAAACTAAGTAACTTGCCCCGACCAAGTCACACAGAGAAGCTGGGGCTTTTAGTCAAGGGCAATAGGGAGCCATGGAAGGCTTTTGAGCAATGTTAGCATGATTCCTTGGGGGTGGATTGGAGGCAAGGGAATGCTGTGGGAACAGTCCAGGCCTGAGGTGATGAAGTGGGTGAATGAGGGGGCAGAAGATCAACAGAGCTTGGTGCTAGCAGTTGGGTGGTGAGTCCCGGGCCAGGCAAGGAGGAAGAGGAAGCCAGGAGCTTATTTAACAAACAGTTACATAGTATTTCTTATGTGCCAGGCACAGTAAGATTTTACATACATTAACCCAACAGTCCTTGTAACAACCTGTAAAGTCAGTACTATTACTATCCCCATTTTTTAAAATGGGTGTATTTTATTTATGTAAATAATATCTCAATAAAGTTAATTTACAAAGAAAGTATATCTGTTTCTTCCATTATAAATTTTTGTTGAAAATCTGGAATTTAGAAAAAGACAGAAAATAAATTACCCATATCTTCTTCTTTCCTCATCTCAGATAATCAATAGAAAGATTTTAGTGTATTTACTTTCAGTCTTTTTTCTATTATTATCCCATTTTACAAATGAAGACACTGAGGCCCTAAGTGATTTGGGCAACATGCATCTGAGCCCATGACATCTGGCTCCAGTGTCCAGGCTCTCAATCACCATGCTATACTGCCTATTAACCCTGGAATGTCAGAGGTGGGTTCCACTGAGACACACCCCCTACCCTTTCCACTTCTTCATCCCTCCACCTTCCTACTCCTTCTACCTCCGCCACCGTTTCACAGATGGAGAAAGGCAGGGCTTTGCCCAGCATCTCTCAGCCAGTGGGGAGCTGATATGTGAAGTCTCATTCAAATAAGAAATAGGTACTGAGAACTTGTGCTGGGTTGATGTGACAGCTGCTTCCAGCCTGGCCTGGAGCCTGGAGCTTGCAGGGGACTGGCAGGTGGCATGACCTGCTCACAGGGAGTGCGGGGGATTGCCAGGGTAGGCCTGTATTCCTTGGGCCTAAGGGTCTCAGCCCTCCAGCTGGCCCTGAGTAGAAAGTGACTAGGTGATGGAGAGAGAGAGTTTGGGACTTTGCCAAGGCTGCAGGTGCCCTGGGACTTGTCACCTGTACTCTGACTGTGCATTTATTTCTGGCCCT